GAATCTGTTTGTCTCGGACTGAACGCCGGAAGAATTGTCAGGAAATAAAGCATGAACGTGGGCGTTCTGAACTGGGCCAGTTCAGAAAAATAAATGCGCACTTTCCCGCGGTCCTGCGGATTCAGTTTTCCATTCAGCATGCGTTGAAGCTGGGAAGTGCCCATTTTCTACTGGAAGGAACTGGACATTTGCTTTCTTTTCCAGGGGCAGGGGAGAGCCTGAGGGTAGAACTGTACAATTAGAGGAAGTCCATCTCTTCCATCCGGATAACAGTTGTTTCAGGGTTTTATAGAAAATTGAAAGAGTTTTCTCCAGTTGCAGAAGTTTTCGTGAAGAAAACATCTGGGGGGGAAATGGAAGTTGACTAAATACCGAAATAGGAACAGCATTCTGACCACATCGGGTCGGAATGATGACTGTTGAAGTCATTTTAACAGCATATCTTCACAACGCTCGACTGGAATTTTCATTATCCTGTGGTGGTAATATCTAATCTACCACGAGGTTTTCAATATGCAAATAAATGATTTTTGCTCCAACTGTTGAGACCAGCTTGACCTCCTTGTTTCTGCATTTGCCTGATTGTGAGAATAAATGGATGCTGAACAATGACCTGCTCCGTTGTGCCCCAGAAAGGAAAACCCCACTGACTTGATTGTATATTATTATGGTATAATCATCTGCCTTTGTTTGTGTTCACACAGAGAAAGGCTCGTACATGTGCCTGCATCGGTGCATGCACACACAGGGACACACACAAAAACACAATGAAATAACAATAGTGGGTGAAGGAATGAAACCTTCATATATGCAAACACACAAAACAGACCAAGGCAAGTTGTGTTTATGCTTCTTAGACCAGTAGTTCTCTGGGAGACAAATGCAGGAAGAGGATATTTACTGAGTTTCCTCCACTGGTTTATCACTCAACAATCCCATCAACTAACAAGAAATGAGTCGCATTGAAATGCATCCCAGCAGGGTTTTTTTTAAAAATGTTTTTCAGTTCGTGGTTACTTCTGTGCCAGTCTTGTAGAGTCTGTGTACAGTTGGAAGATTGTCAGGAATGAAGGAAATAGAAGTCTAAGGCGTAAGCAACAAATGGTGCAAGCCATTTGGCTTTTTCATCCTCATTTTGCCAGCTTTTCCAATTTGACTATTAACAGTCTAACCATTCAGAACTGCAAAAGGAGAAGTGGGTATTATATTCCGACCTAGGCTTGCATTTTTCTTAATGTCATCTTTTTTGTGGTTATGTGGTTATTGGATAACAATAGAGGCCATTGCTATCAACATTTCATCAATATTATTTGTGTGAAAACCTTCAGTTGGACAAGAATATTTGTAGACAGCATCTTCAGACCAACCAGATATACTTTCATGATATTAAATATGATGAGTTATTAGCTTATTTCTAGATCCAAACAAATGACTTTAAATCCAATACTGATACGTATGATGGAGTTCTTAATTTAAACTTGGGTTTTTGCGCCACCTCCCCCCTCTGCGTCCTGCATCAGCCTTAATCGCTTACATTTTTCTAATCCCTCCAAACGACAGCTAAACATATAAATCAACATGTTTACAGTGAAATGTTTCCAATTAAAGTGGACGTTTGTTAAGTAGCGTCAGCGGACACCACTGGATCCGTAATTGCTTCGGATGCAAATGTGTGATGCATATTAATTAGACATTAACCCCGCGCTCACACATGCGCACGCTCACAAATCTAAGCCGACACATTAGTGTCTATTGCATATTAATTACCTATTAGCCTTTGTGCTGTGCGTTAAGAGCTGCGTGGCATCAGACAGACAGCTTGCCCAAGGGCAACACACACACACACACACACACACACACACACGCATGCTCACGTGCACACATTAATACCACATGCACTGTGTATTCAGTTTGCATTCTCAATGAGGAAAGGGACATTTAAGTCATCAGGCCACATCGATTTGACTGCACTTTTCAAGTAAGCATATGTGCATGGGTCTTTTCAGATATCAAACAATGGGATGGTTAAAGAAAAGACTACTTTAAAAAAAAGAAGACTTTAATACCACATGTCTTTTCATTTGCAGGCATTTCATTATGAGATGTCCAAAGCTATCAAGGAGAGGAATCAAGTAAAAGAGGAAATGGGTTACTGAATTGAGTATGTTTTGAGTCAGTTTTTTACAAATGATGGGATTCAGTTTTGGGGTTTTGTTTCTATGCATATATATGCGTTTATCAATTTATGTAGCCATATATTTAAATCTAGTTCCCATTAAAAGGAGACTTGCACTTCTTTGATTTGAAACATACAAGTAATTTTTATTTATTGTATACATTATTCTAATGATCCTGTTTTTTACAGTTTTCCAGTTTTATCCCCCCCCATTTTCAAGCAAATCCTTAAACCTATTAAATGAAGATATTCAAACGGTAACTGTGTCATCATTTACGCTCTGCTGTCATGATGTGTCATGCAGTTCTGCCATGTCTGTTCCTCAAGAGTATAAAATGGTCTATTTACCCGACATGGAAATGAGCTCCTATTAATGATAACAAATGCCTTAACATTCACTATTCCTGTGCCTATTAGTAAACTGGAACTGGCTTTTATTAAAGTGGCATGCAAAGTATTTGTTTTTACTCAACTGGCACATTTTAATTGCAAATGTTTATGTAATTGTCATAATCATTTGCATTTTCCAGGGGAAATAAATTTCCATGCAGTACTTTAATTTAATCAGAGCACACCATCTAATTTTTCACACCGCCGCATTATGAGCAACTATCTGTCTTTGCCAATGTGTGTGTCCATCTGCCTGGTTGAATATCTCTCTTTGTGTTTTACGTTTTAATTATTCTCAGCAAATAGATGTGGATTTGGTTTGCACATCCATTACAGTAAATGTCAAAGACAAAGGCGGGTGGGGGTTGGGGGGGGGGGGGGGGGGAAAAAAAAATATCATTAAAAAAAGAAAAAAATCGGGGACTCTGGCAAAAAAACAAATGATTTTTTTTTTTTTTTTTTAAATCTGCAGGGAGTCGAAACTTGTTCAACAGGATATCTTCATAGGGTGCCTTTGGAGTAACACACTTAGCGCACACCATACTGTTTGACTGACAACTGATTGGGGAGTGCAGAAAAGACACACCAGGTTGTCGGAGCTTTTAAAAGAAAAAAAGCTGAAAAACTGGAATTATACTGTATTTGAACATATGATTACGCCCCTAGTTGTTAGGAATCTGTAAGTGTCAAATGAGCAGCCAACATTTATTGATTTTGGCCATGGGGGTTTGGAGGATGGAGTGGATGAGAGCTATTGGCTGCACAATGGCTGCACAAATCCAATTGCAACCATAAATAGCCCTGTCTGCATGTGTGCTCTTATTTGGATTGGTTACTTTATGTTAAAAAAAGTTTTTTTTTTTTAAACTCACGCCATATTGAGAGCTATAGTCCATATGGGATCTAGTGTTCTTTAAAGGTAAAACATAATTTATGAGACCTGCTGGCTTGATGTTCATTTTAGGTTGGGTTTGGGTATAGATGGGCTACAGTATCTCCTTTATTAATATGTTTTTACCAATTTTTGTGTTCATCCTAATTGATATCTGAAGGGAGTCTTTAACCTTAGCTTTGTATGTGATTTGGGAATGTGTGGCATTTAGAATTCCAAAGCACACCAAAGGAAAGGAATTGTTCCTACTTATTTTGTGTGTGTTTATGTGTGTAAGTGTGTGCGTGAGAGAGAGAGAGGGAAAGAGAGGGAGAATCAGAGGTGAGACTCGGAGTGATCCAGGGCAGAGGGAGAATTTTTCAGGACTAATGTTCCATGACAACAGACCAAGGTTCCGTCAAGGTGAATCAGAGCCACTGCTGTCTAACGACTAAAACACACACACACACAGTCTCATGTACAAACACACACACTCACCAAGCCTCCTACTACTCCTTTGTCTCCTTCATCCTCCCCTCTATCCCTGTCTCGTTCTCGTAAACTTGGCTTCTCTCCTCCCATCTTTCACTTTTATCGCCTTATCTCCCTCTTGCCTTTTGTATTTTTCCTCTCCGGGTCTTTATCCCGCTGTCCCCGGTACCTGCAGTTTAATTATGGAGTTGTTAATTAAAGCTGCCGTCTGATTGAGCTTCACAACACACACACACACATGCACACAATGGGTGAAAACAACGGCTCTTAAATCTAGTGGACAAGTGGAGGAAACGCGGCTCCTGTTCCTTTATCCTTTTGTCTGGCATCCTTGTGGCTTCTTGTCTGTTCTCCTTGAAATGAGACGTCGGTTTATCATGTGCTGCACATTGTTCCTGAACATCATTTTATTTTTTCATTATTTGTCCTTTTAATGGAGACAAATCAGGGGGCTGAATTATGCTTTGATGATCGGTTGGCTCAGGGTTGTTGTTCATATGCAATGGCATTTAGAATACATTCCTGTCTTTCTGTCTTGCCTAAATCTGTTGTCTGAGTCATTTTTTGCGATTGTTTTACTAAATGCTATGGATGTATGGGCGCTTTATTGGGCAACATATTCAAGTGCAAACCCTCTTGTCAAGTAAATACTTTCAATTACAGTTTTGAAGTCTTTGAAAAATCTGAGAAATCTGGCTTTTTTGTGGGGGAAATTGATCAAAGTTAATGTGACTAAATGTGGATTTATTGAAAGACATGATCCTTAAAGAAATATAAAAAGAGAACCATCTTTAAATGAAATAGTGGTAAACTTGTGGAAGTTTGAAAGCATATATCAAAGAAGCTCAAAACGACCAGAACTATGAAAGACAAATGTGTCTATGGGTAAAGTTGACCTCCTTTTTTTTCTTTTAAAGGAAACAACCATGCTGTCCTGCAGTTTCTCCTGTCCCCCTTTTTTTTACCACTCTGCTCGTGACCCCCTTCCTTTCCTATTTGCACATGTCCTCTTATCTCTTCTCTCTCTCTAACTTCAAACTCTTCCTGACATCATCTTCTTGGCTTTCAGTCTGCAGAGTGGGCTTTTACCGCTCGCTGCTGGAGTCTTCAGCCTGCAGTAAATGTCCACCTCACAGTGTGGCCAAACAGACGGGGGCCATATCCTGCAGCTGTGAGGATGGGTACTATAAGATCGACTCTGACCCCCCTAATATGGCCTGCACACGTGAGGAATTTGAACACTCTTTCTTTTTTACATTCACACAGTCTCGCTTATAATCTGACAGCTCACTTTACAGTATTTTATGCATTGTGATGCTATAGTTCAGCATTATTTATGTCTATTTTTTCTCTTTCAGGGCCTCCCTCCGCTCCCCGGAATGCCATTTCCAACGTCAATGAGACCAGCGTGTTTCTGGAGTGGTCCATCCCCGTGGAAACGGGCGGCAGGAAAGACGTGCGCTACAATATCCTCTGCAGGCGGGCGTTGCCGGACGGCAGGGGGCTGGAGGAGTGCGGCCCCAACGTACGCTTCCTGCCACGCCGCGTGGGCCTCTCCAACACCTCGGTGATGGTGGCCGACCTCCAGTCGCACACCAACTACAGCTTCCTGCTGGAGGCCGTCAACGGGGTGTCGGAGCTGGCCAGAGGCCACGCCAAGCAGTACGTGACACTTAATGTGACAACCAATCAGGCAGGTAGGTTTGCCCCCAGACTTATTACCTTGTCATTTCCGCCTGTCAGTTCTCTCGGGTGGGGAAAAAAAAAGCCCCCGCTAAAAACCTCATTGCTGTTTAAAAATGACGACAGACATTACTTGATGAACGAGCTGGATTTGTAAGTGTTTTTTTTTTCTACCGGAGGCGCAGCTGTCTCAGTTTTTCTCCTCTAGTACTCTTTTCCCCCCTCTTTACTTTAAAACTGCGAAAGCTTATCAGCATGTAGGCTTCCAGGAGTTTGACGACAAAAGCAGCAGATGATCAAATCATCTCACTTTTTTGGGCCGACGCGTCTGCCACTGTATTAATTTTTTGCTTATGCGCCATCCCTGCCGGGAAGGAGAGAACATCGCACAGCGGAGAGCCTTTTTTGCTTTCGCCCGTGCATCCAGATATGTAATCGAAAAAGCAGCTTGCTCCCGTCATTTGGGCGATACGATGCACCAACAAGATTTTCAGGAAACTCTGGCATTATAATAAAAAAAAAAAGAATCCTCTGAATTGCTGGCTGTTGCCTGTATTGGCTGTCTTGTGTGGTAGCAGGTGTTATTTTTTGCATGCCTGTAAACATTGATATTTTAGGATGGCTCGGTTTACACGCTGATTTTGAATAAAAAAAATGTGCACCCTGTACTTTGAGCAGCCAGTCGTAAAAGATCATAAGAGCCAATACTCACATTAGACTAACAATAACAGCGGCTTCATCCAACTCCTCCACTGTTGCCGTCTCTGGCCGTCTCTGGCTCTTTGGGAATAGTTTTTCACGTTTAAAGGGGCAGACATTCATCTCGTTTATTTTATTCACTTGTAATGAAATTGGGTAGCGAGTAGGATAACGAAACGAGAGAAACATGACATTATTGCTCTCCTCCTTCCGAACCTCCATCTGGACGAAAGCCAAGAAGGGAAAGAAAAAAAAAGGAGTGTCAAAGGATTGTCTTTGCTCCATTTTGCTGAACAGATGGTGCATTGGCACTCAAAGAATAGTAGGTAGCGTTGGTACTAGCTTCAGCCTGAGTAGAGATGGTAGTAGAAGGGCAGATTGTTGATACAATGTGTGCTGAAGGGAGACGCAGTCGGACAGAAAGCGAGGTGGAGGCAGATGGCTGTCTTACAGTCGGGACTGGAAGACAGCCTCTGTCCCCACGGCTGTCTGCAGACTGAGTGGATTACAACATACTAAAAAAACTCAGATTCAGTTTATTGGAGTTGTAACTGGATTAGCAAGTCAGGGGACCAATTTGAGATTGGGGATTATGTTAGATTACACATGGCGGCCAAAGTCGCAGACGGATAAGAACTGCCCGTTTGGGCAAGTGAGGCACAGTCTGCTTTAGGTGAGGGCGTAGGTGGGATGATATTACACATTTGTTTGACTTTGATTGCACGTTAGAATAGTCGCTCAAAATCAATTTTGAGATAATGGGTCAGATAGGTTCTGCTAAATACAAGCCATCTCTTTAAAACAACCAGAAGAGATCCAACATTAAGAAAGAAGGTTATGTGTGACATCAGATTTCATTATCAAACTACATTCTTTTCTTAAACTGGATGCTTACCAGTACACCATATTAACAGTTAATTGTCTGAGGTGATAGTTTATCCCAGGAAAATAACTCTTGATGATGTAATTTTTCTTCTTTTGTTAACTAAAGAATTTCTCTCGCAAATTGTGTTTCTGTAAACCAAATTTAAAAGATCATGATTTAAGAGTTTCAAAACCCAGCAATGTTCTTTTTTTGTTTTTTATTTGCAACTGCCTACCACAACTTCAGTTTTCCTGTTGGTGAGTTCTAATTGCACATTACAGGCCAGACCACAATGCCATTTGCGCTGTGTCAAGTGAGGAATTTCTCCTTGCTCCCTCATTTAAAAGCAGTATGTTTTGTGTTCGCGGCACCTGGCTGATGGCATTTTCAAGAAGGGCCAACCGCTGAGCGTTGCACAGTAACATTTACACCTCATTTGGACATGGCTTATTCAAAATGAATAGCTTTATTCAACTGTTAAAGTAATGACATGCTGTCGTTTGAAAATAGATGGCTTACTTTTTTATGTCAAAAGACGTATCAGTGTAAAAACCTAATCAGAAAAAGGTGCTCACGATATTTCTCTATAGCTTTAACGTATGCACAAGAAATGTGTAATTTGGTGTGATATTTTCAGAGCGTTAGCTGTTATGAACAGTTGAATCCAATCTGATCATCTGTCTTGTGATGAAATTATCTTGATCATCCTGGTAAAAAAGCTTTGCTCTGACCTCAATGTTTTGCTTGTATAAGACTGACATTGGTGACTGTTTCTTCTTTTGGTAAAGAAGTAACAACAGGAGACAGAAACAAAACTCCTATGAGACGGGGGCGAGAGTTACACAGAAAGACAGAGGAAGACTCTGCGGATCTGCCGTTTGATGTGAGGAAAGTGTCACACACGATAAGAGATCCGTGAAATAGGTGATTTCACAGTATCTCTGTGAAGCCCCGCTGAATAATAAAGTGTTGTTACTCCATAAGAGAAAATGGAGAGAGGTGAAAGACTGAGGAGAACTTGAGGGGGGGCGGGCACAACGATGGGGTAAAAGTAGGGAGGACAAACTAGAACAGAAAAAAACAAATATGGGAAGGTTGTGATAAGGAAAGAGAAGGCCACACAGCAAGGACTGTAAAAAAAAAGAACAAGTTGGGAGGGAGAAGATGGCAAACACGACCTTTTCCTTTCACACTTATACATAGCTTCAAAGAGATTGCTCACTAAAGCAAATCTTAATATGTAGAAATTGATTTTAAAAAGGAAACTATTTTATCACATTAATGATTCCAAAGCTATCCAGGAATGCTTTTTCAGAACCCGCTTCCCAGACCTTGGAAGTGAAGCTTAAAGGTAAAAAGCAGTAATAAATGTCCTTAACGTCCCATTCCAACTGAAGTGAGATCGAATTTTCATTATTAGTTTGCTTAGAGTGCATGCACCCCTGGTGTATTTGTCAGTTTTTCTATGGTTGCTTTGGCTTCCTCCCAACATCCAGAAGCAGTCATGAATAACCAGTGCATGAGTGTGCATGCTGGTCTGTCTCTGTGTGACCCTGTAATGGACCGGTGACTTTACCCCTCATATTCAGCTGCAGCGGGAATATATATGGCATGTATACATAGCAGTTTTTCCCCCCCGAGTCCAGAATGAATGCAATCACATTTTAGATAAACGTTTCTTCATTTTTGCAGATACCTCAATAACTACACAATGGCTGGTCGCCTTTTTTTTTTAGCTTAAAATTGGCTCTTGTTTTACCCAAAACAGACCTTGAATTTGGCTCATCCCAACAAGCAACTCGGTGATAGCTATTGTACTGCTGTCTCCAACAGATGTTGTCAAACTGGGACCTCCTCCTGCTCCATAGCTGTCAGGCCGAGCTGCGACAGACCCGTCCGGCGACAGTCCGCTTGTTTAACGTGCTGTTTCCGCTTTGACCAACAAGCACTTGGCAGGCGTATGGATAATACAAGGGAAAAAAGGGTGAACATGTGTCTTCGCGGAGCAGCTGCTTAATGGGAGATGTTGTTGTCTTTGAAACTTAGGGTAAAAAAAAAAAAAAGAGAAAAAAAAGTGCTGCAACAAACGTCAGAGTGCTTTTAAATGAAACGCTGACAGGAAAGCGTAACCGAGCGCCCTGCCAGCACTTTTGAGCCAGAGAAAAGCTATATGTGGACACGGGCCCTAGGAGACATAAAAGGAAGTAAAGAGAGAGATGGGGAAAACTGACAGCAAAAATCCCTGGTTGCACAATAACTGGAATTTCTGTATTTTATTGTCAGCGCGTTCAAATCCTCATGAAACCACAGCTGATATTTGAATGCTTTTGTAGTCTGACTTGGGGTATACGTCAATTTTACATGTTTCCAGTTATTGTTAAAGGTTTGTAGTATCTCCCATGTCTTGGCAGCATTGTTTGGAATCCCTCTCACTGCGGTATGCATGCTAATTCTTGCATACATTCAAAACATTTTTCGCATCTTAGTATCACAAAGTTCGACCAGAATGGTGAGAAAGCCAGTGGATCTTTTTTGGGAGTTTTTTTGGAGAAGGGACTGCAGTGTCCTCAAACTTCTTTTGCATCCTTTTTAATATGCAGAGGCAGACAGCTCTTTCATCAGCTGAATTCTAAAGCCTGATGCCTTGAATTGCCCGTCGCTTTTAGGTATTCTTCCCTTTTCAACTTTTATGAATTGCAGAAGAATTCAACTGTGTAACTGGTGGTAAAGTCCAAACAAATAAAGACTATGGGTCCAATCTAAAGTGGCATACAAGCTTCAGGGAGGGAAAAAGTTAAAGTGCAAGCCCTGATAAAGGTATCGGTCGTCCAACTCTTTCAGTCTGTCTCACAATCTGCCTTCCATCAATCAATCTGTCTTTGATGGTAGTAAACTATCTTTAGCTGTCTGAAATGAACCAGATAGTTGAAGGTCCATATTGATTTTGACGATGGTGCCGATAGATATAGGTCTGAGAGGCTTATGCTCAGCACTCTGATAATGTTGTGCTTATCTGAGGTCAGAATTGTTACACTGGAGGGTCTGTACTCATCTACTGGAGTGCTTTCTTACCCTTTTCTAACCTCTCTTTTTCGTACTGTTCATGTCGTACTCTGGGAGAAAACTCTGAACTGTCTGGGTGTCAGAAGTTTTTTTTAGAGTCTTCTCCTTCATGTTCTCATTAGCAGATGTAAATGGAAGTGTTTAAACCAACAGTGTCGTTACACCGTCCTCCCCGTTTCTAAAATAAATGTGTTGCTTGGGCCCTGTCAACAGTATTTTCACTCTTTCAGCATGTCTCCCCCACACTTTCTCACTGGTATTCATTTGTGACTGTTTTTTTCCTTCTTATCATCCCACCTGCATGTCACCTATTTTCTCATCCTTCTTTATCAACCTGTCCCTCTCTCCCATCAGCTCTCATTAACTTTCTGTGCTACTGCCTCTCAAAGCCTATTTAACTGGGCTTGTTTTGTTTTGTTTTTTCTCTAAACTGAAAACGGTTTTGAGCATTTGGGTAAAATAATTACCAAGCATGTAAAGTGGAAATTATAGATGCAATTTTCTATCCCTGAAGTATACATAGTTTTCAATCAATTTCTATATGATTTCTCTCATTTGTGTAATAGAATATGATTATATTTTGTAACACCGTTTAATGCACAATTAACAGAATGTCTTTAAACAGCCTTAATTTATATTGTGACTGCAGTTTTCTGAAACCTGATTTTATTGTGCACATTAAATTAGTTTTCCTATTCATCATCCCATCAGCGCTACATAATATGCACATATTCACATTGGTAGATGAATGAGGAAATAGCTACATAAAACATATCTATTTCCATTAGTGGCTGCAACAGCGGATCAAACGCAATATCAATGTGTTTTGCATGTAAAACACATCAGGTTTATTCAGGAAACTGAAGATCGTCATAGTTGAGGCTTTGAGATCTGCGCACCCTCATATGACCACCGCTCTCCGAACCCTTTGATTGAATTCAACAAGGAGAGCTGCATCCCCTTTTGGGGGATTAAAACTTAGATTTCGTATTGTAGCACATAAAGCTGCTGGAAAGGTAATCCTTCTCATTGAATCCAGGCTTTTATACCATTTAAGCATTGAAAGGATGTGTGTGTGAGTGTGTGGGTGTGTTTATGTGTGTGTGTGTGTGTGTGATTTTTGGTCTCTGGTTTCAGGCTTTTAAGATGTTGCAGATAGCGCTTCTGTGCAACCATCCACTCGGGATAGAGTTACTGTGTTTGCAGCGGTGATTTATTCCCTGTGGAGTTCCGCTGAAGCTATTGAAACCTAAACAGTGTTTAGCATTTGCTGCAGATGCACAGTGGCCTGTGCGAGCGCGCGCACACACACCGAGGCAAATTCACACTCGTACACTACCGTGATGTTGCCTTGGGGAGCATTTTGCCCGGTTAAAAGCTCTTTATATGTCAGACTCACCAACTGTCCCTCTGAGAGATGGCTCAACAGTTCAGGTTACAACAGGATGGCTCAGTGATTGATGCCGGCTCGCTCAGTTCACTTTGCTTCAGAACTATGACAGAACTATTTACCAAACATATAAAAAATAAAAGCAAAACATGTTATGAGACAAAGAAAACAAGCAATGTACAAATATCTGAGGTTCAACTATGCAATTTGAAACAAATGAGCGAAACGGTTAACAAAAACTGAAATGGCACTTTTATTTTGTCATGTGATTGAAATTTGCGTTTAATCCGTTTCAAGTTGTTAAAACTCTTCCATGCAACTGTTTAGTAGCAGGTTATAGGCTTTTTTAAAATAGATTTACATGATGTGCCTTGCTGCCAGAATGCAAACGTGGATTTTGGAAGCAGATCTGCTTTGAAATAATTAATGAAATCTGCACTTTTCTGCTTAGAAGTCAGTGAACTGAGCCTGCAGAGCCTCGCGGGAGTGTATTTCCCAAAAAGCATGTGACAAACGGAAAGTCATTTTTAGAAGAAGGTACATGACAGCCATGACGTGTAGCTTCGCACAACTATATTAAGGAAACCCTCACACCACTGACGCTTCACATGGAGTTCGGTAATTCACAGCACACACGAGCATCTTTCTCAAAAACGCTCAAACACGAGGTTGATGACACCCCACTGACTTTACAACATCAGCGGCGATTCTCCTCTTGTGTGTAATCGCTTTTTATGAAGATGTTAAACCGCTGATCTTCTTTTTAATTATTGGAATTGGAGATGCATTTGATTGCCTTTTCATCTGCTGCTACACAGCTGTGCTTTAATTCTCACCCTAGCAGGGGCTGGTACTGTAAGCTGTTCTATATCTGTATATTCACAAATGTTTAAATCTATATATGTGTGTGTGTGTTTGTGTGTTTGTATGCAGCTCCATCCCCGGTCAGTGTGGTAAGAAAAGGACACACAGGGAGGAGCAGCATTGCCCTTTCTTGGGCTGAGCCCGATCGACCCAATGGTATAATCCTGGAGTATGAGATCAAGTACTTTGAAAAGGTAAAATTAAAAACTATCCATGTACATATAGAAACTATGTTAATCTGTGTGGGTTTATGTGTGTGGTTTTGTACAGTTCCTGTTTAATCCCTAAAGACTTGTAGGTGTTTTTTAGCCTGTCAGAGCCAGTGACTTTAAGATCTGCTTATGCCTGTTTATGTGTGTGTCTTCTGTGAATATACCAAATATATCCACAAAATGCATTCATTGAAGGTAGACACACCCAAAGTCTCTGTCCTGAGTGTGTGCTCATTGATCTCCAGTTTATTTTTTGAGAGTTTGAGTTTGAAAATGGTCATTTGAAAATAGCAGCTTAACAGCACATCCGTTGGGTGGTACCATTTCAGAATCTGAATGCGAAGTTCATTTTATTTAGATGGCATAAAGATACATTTTCTGGTTTCCATCCTCTTGTCCCTCCTTCATCCTCCACATCTCTCCTTGGAAGGTCAGAATAAAGTTTCAGAGGAGAACAGAGCCGTTTGTGGTCAGTGGTTGGCTAATGGCCCCTGGCTTAATGGAACCGTGTTTAAACCTGCTGCGATGACAGAAAGGAAACTGATCCTCACATGCCTTCAATTAAATACTGACATCTCACATATACCACAGGTAGTTTGACCACAGAAATGTGCACGTGAATGGGCAGAAATCAATACCAAAAGCAAGATGGCAAACTTCGGCAAATTCATTACTTCATTACTGGTTCATTTCGAGCAACCTGAGCATGCATGTTTATACTGTATGGAGAAGAGGGGAAATGAATTGGGATGATATTCTATCCTTCACTTATTGCAGGAACAGGACTCCAGTTACACCATAATAAAATCCAAAGACACTGAGATGGTGGTTGAAAGCCTGAAGCCTTCATCTGTTTACATCTTCCAGGTAAAAAGATCTCCAAAAATCTCCTGATAAAGAATATGATGGAGAAAAATAAGTTTTGAAATGTAGAAATGGCAAACGTGAAGTCTGCTTTAATCCGGTTACAAATAGAATTATCCAATTCAAGCATAGCACGTATACAAATGGAAGTACGGCAGCGCTGTTTACCGCGCTGGTATTTATTTTAGGTACGAGCCAGGACCTCAGCGGGCTACGGAGCATTTAGCCGGCGTTTTGAATTCCAGACCAGCCCTTACTGTGAGTACACTGGAGAAAAAAGCGGGACAATCAACAATGGACGCCAGGTGTGGTTTTGTGTGCTTGCTGCGTGCGTCTAATCCCACGTCTTTTCTTTGCCAGTGACTGCCACCAGCGAGCGTGCCCAAGCATCGATAATAGCTGTGGCCATCACGCTGGCTCTGGTCCTTCTGGCAGTGGTGGCTGGATTCTTGCTCAGCGGAAGGTAAGGCATGAACACACACCTGAAGGAAATTTAAAAAAAAAAAAACAATAAGGCAAGCGCGTATGTATTTACGTGTTTGCAGGTGACACTAACTTGTCCTCACCCTCATGCTGCGTCTGTGAGAACACAGCTGGATGAGGTCTCCCAATTACTTTAAACGCTTCGAAAAGTAAGGAAAGTTAGTGCAGAGTTTTGCTGCATTACAACAGTGTAGGCGAGGATGGAATGTAATGCTGCTAAATGTGTTACTCCCAGAGAATAACACAAACAAAGTTGGTGAGTTTAAAACTAAGAGAATGCATGTTTAGGGCCTGCGCCGGATTGTAAAACAACAGGAAAGGATAAGCCTGAAAAAGCTAAGAAACGGCTAAATACAACTTTCAAAGTCTCGTCTTTCACAACCCATGAATTGAGTCAAATAGATCAAAATGGTGTGGAAAAGGCTTTGGTATTTCGAACAGAAATTCCCTGTTTTGATGATAGGTTTGAAAAGTGCTCCTTCTGGACTACTTCCACCTTTGCATATTGACCTATGAAAGCATGCAAACCTCAGCCATAGACAAAACTATCACAACTTAACTCTTTAGTTTATGCATTAATTGAATGAGCAAAAAATTAAGATGACTTAAAAACGCATTTAAAGAAACTAAAGACACCAAAGTTATCACAAAATGACACATAACAATGCTCATAAAACCATTCCGATCAGACGTCCCCTCAAGTAAGAGGTTTGACAACAGATACATACTGTTATCAGTTCCTAATTGGTTCATCAAAAGGAAAATATGATTTGGTGACTTTGTGGTTTTTGATCTCGAGCCTCTGTTTCCGTGAATTCTCTACCCATAGGAAAGTCAATTAAAAATCAATAGACATCGCTATTTAAGTCCTAATCTATTTGATTTTGAGTTCTTGTGAAGGGGGCCAACAGAACACTGTTTATTTCATGACAGAGGCTGGATTGAAGGCAGATGCTCACAGTGGCACCAAACATGAAAGCAGCTGCTCTCTGGCTTCAATTTTCAGATGGTGGCGGTGTCCTTCATCTTTCACACGCTCTGTGGCTTAATCAGATGACTTCCCCTTATGCCGCTCTGACCTTTTGCCTACGCACAGAAATTTCAAATATCAAATCTCAGTTCTGTTTGAGATGTATCTTCGCTGTGGAGCACAATTATGGCTTAAAAAGCTTAAGGCTAGACTTTTGTTAGTCAGGGTCAGGATTAAGGGTTCCTTCTTAGATTTTAACTGCAGGCTTGATGCGGATAAGTCAGTAGATTATTTTTTCCCCTCCTCTGGTGAAACATGGTTTACTGCATAGCATTTATAATACCAACTACTGACACTGACTTTGAATTGGTATAGGTGTTTTTTTCTGAATGAGGAAAAGGTAATATGAAATCTTTGTTGTTTTTTTGTTTTTTTTGTATCACAATTTTCTTTATCAGGCTCATCCACTCATAATTTAAATTAAATGAAGGTAATTACAGGCTGTGTACGTTCTCAAATTCGAACGATCCGTATTTAAAGCTGAGGTGATTCTTCAAAAAGTATGTATCATCTGTTTTGTAAGTCCAGTCATACATTCCCATGGTTTTGCGACCATCTCACCAGGGTTCTGCTCATGTCGTCTTATTTTCTCTGTGAAACCATTAAGGCATCATTTTGTCGATATGTTTGATCCACAAATCATCCATTACCCATCAGGGATTTTGTCACAGAGATGTTTAATATGTGGTACGTACTTCTCCTGCCTGGTGATGTTGAGAAATTAAAAGATCTAATAAACCATGTACAGAGATGCACAGAGACACAGAACAAGGATCAGCCCCAGTTTTGTATGCGGGAAGAAAAATGGAGGAGAGGCACAATTTCATACTCATGGATTTGGGACAAAGATCTATATTTCCCTTCCAGCAACTATAACCCCCACCCCTTTCATGTGCACGATACTCCAGACAGCTTGTGTGCGCACAAACATCCAGCACACACGCGAATACACTGGCACATATGCCTCGGTGCACACATGCATGTAGTTGGAGGGCCAGCTGTTCACTGACTGTGCTTAGACTCCTTGACTCAACTAAACACCCTCTGGCAGACCCGTGCAGCCTCCTCTGCCTGATAATGGTGTCCTCTGCAAACCCTTGTAGTCAACCCTGGCTGACACACACAGAGTTGTCAAAAAACTTGGACTGGATTCTTCTGTGTGTGTTTGTGTGTGTAGCTCAGTCATGTGAAATGTTGGTTTGATTTTTTTTTTAACTTTTACAGTCATTCACCCTGTTTAATCCGAGTTATCTGTGATTATCTCCGATGCCATTTGCCTAAATATTGACTCGTTAAAGCTTTTTGAGCTCAGATCCTGCAAACACACACACACACATGTTTACACACGTCCAAAGCATGCTAATTAAATCAGGTTTTGACCATCAGGTTGCACAGATGTCCTTCCTCGCAAGAACAAATTATTTAAAAAAAAACACAAAAAAAAACATCAGACATCCCTCAGAGCCATTTGATTATTATCTCTACTGTTAATGTGCAAGTCCTTCACAAAAAGGTCATTAACATCTTTCATCCTCAGTAAGACATCTCACAGTCAGATTTTCGGTAAACAATTTCTGGAAAATACAAAAATAAAAAAAATGCAGCTTTTTGCTTGCATGTAAACCTTGATATGTTTCAGCTTTTTCAGCAACATTTTTAACCAACTTGAATCTGAGTAAGCAGAGTCCACGAGAAAAATAAAAAGCTTGTTTTTTGCAAGCTCTTGCATCCGGGGGAACGTCCCCCCTCTATGGATGTGAGTGTTTGCCACGGTTTGTTATGCCATTCTAACAAATGTCTAAATCTTAGTTTATTAAAACAATGTCATGTGTAATATATTTTGACGATTACAACTAATGGAGATAGTTCATTTTGGAATTATCACCAGTAATATCTGAGATAGGCTGCAGAAGAAGACCGTTTCTGCTTCCTTGTTGATTGCTCTGACATTCGACTGGGTGTCAGCGAGATGAGTGTGATGAGTTTCTGTGCACACAACAGTGCCGCAGGTTGACACTGACACTGATGTGATTGTGTTTCCTCCTCAGGCGCTGTGGCTACAGCAAAGCAAAGCAAGACCCGGAGGAGGAAAAGATGCATTTTCACAATGGTCACCGTAAGTCGGGAGATCTCATTCCTCCCCTGTAAATTCTGTTCACAATAAGCATAAAGCATGTGCGCGTTTGTGCGTCTGCGGAGACACAAGTTCACGTACAGCAGGCGGTTCACACGGCGGCCATGTCCCCGTGAGTTGTTTCCTGTACGTGCACATGGATCTGTGCAGGCAGTGCGGATGACAGTGTTATGTGCCCCGGAGCTATTTGTGACTGGCGGCCATGTCAGTAGAGGCACAGAAAAGCAATGCTGCTTCATCCACTTTGACAGCTTTATATGCACTCGCAGCATTGCACCCCGCTTTTCGCATGTTGTCTACTGAGCCAGCTGCCAATATATGGAGCCACAACGTACGCTGTTGAGGAGGATGTGGGCGACAGGATGTCTGTCTTCTTATTTGGATGATTTAATTGATTGTATTTTTAGGACTTTTTAGACAGAATTTGATATAAAAAAAAGAAACAACAGCAATAATATGAAAAAGTTTTGCCAGAGACTTTGTGTCATAGAAGGACAGCCATGAGCTTTAATGTTGTGGACAGTAGACGTCAAGGCCAAGACTTGTTCTTTGTGCTGGTCATTGTTTTTAGTCATAACCTAAATCTTAAATCTTCCAGAAAAGCTACATTAATATTGGCTCATGCCTCCAGTACTCTCTAATTGACTGTTTACTTGCATGAAACCAAAGCCTGTTTGCATATTGTATGTTGTTGGTTTGTTTTCAGAGTAATATTGATCAAAAACCCAGAAAGCCTGCCGCAAAGTCTTTTCCCTTGCCAACAGATTATGCATGTTCTTATGCAAATTATACCGCTCAACCCAGCTCTAACACAGATTACCGCAATTTAGTTCTAATTTTAAAAGCGGGAAATCTCGGTGAAAAGTAGCGGAATCTGAAAATGAGATCACTTTGTGTTGTTGTGTTATTTTACCGTCCAAGTGTGAATTATACTGCATGTGCGTTATGCTGTGGAGACAAGCCTAGCTAAATTTGAATATGTTAAATGACTTACAATTTGCTGTGATGCTGTGTGTGCATCCGCAGTGAAGTTCCCCGGGGTGCGCACTTACATTGATCCCCTTACTTATGAGGATCCCAACCAGGCTGTGCATGAATTTGCACAAGAGATTGACGTCTCATTCATCTCCATTGAAAGGATCATCGGTGCCGGTGAGTGCAGCTTGTGTGCCTGTCTCTGCAGATATTTGTGTGTGTATACTTCCTACAGATGTGCACGGAGGCTGATTTGAACATAGTAGTAAATTCCATAATACTTTAACACATTTATAACACTTCAGTGACAATAAAGATACACACTTGTATTAAATCACACTAAGGGGAGACGCAAAAATAAATGAAATGCAGTTTTTTTATGATGAAAATAATTCAGCCTTTGGTCGGTCACGTTTTTTTTCTAGCTAATAAAAGATGTCAGATTCCCACCTGCATAAGGTCCCTTGTATTGATGCATATTTTTACATAATTAACCCAAACCCTGTGCACTCAAACAGCTTTGATTAGAGCTAAATTTTGTGTAAGATTCATATCAAATAAAGTTTGGTTGATTAGCTGTTGTATGCTTTGGCATGTTTTTGCTGAACTGTTGAGTGCACACTCATGGGAACATTTTATTTGCAGGAGAGTTCGGGGAGGTGTGCAGTGGACCCTTGAGGCTTCCGGGGAAAAGAGAGATCCAGGTTGCCATTAAGACATTGAAAGTAGGCTACACTGAGCAGCAGAGACGGGACTTTCTGTGGGAGGCATCAATCATGGGCCAGTTTAACCATCCAAACATCATCCGACTGGAAGGGGTGGTCACCAAGAGTGAGTCCTGAGCACATTTTAACAGAGTGTTGTTGTTTTTTTGTTTTTTTGTTTTGTTTCTTTCTCTTCCAAACTGTACCCTCTAGACGTGTTATACAGTTATAGACAGAAGTTGCTGTGATTCATTAAGTCTGTACTTCTGCCCGGGGTTTTCATCATCCATCAGAGTCAGATGAGTAGTCACTGATGAGGAACTGCGAGGCGATTGCCAAGTTTAGTCACGTTCGCTACAGATAAAGTGATATTACAGCAATGTGTATCCCTCAACACTGGTTCACAGCTATGTTTTATAACCAAACAAATACAGCTAATTGTGGGGGGCTTTGAGCCACAGCAAGCTTTGATAATTAAAAGCAGCTTAAAATGCTAGAGTACAGCTTACCCAGAAAATGTGAGACCTTAATTTCTTGATCTGTGGAGTACATATGGCATCCATACGCGTGTGATTTTGTTGGTTAATTTGCCCATTCACTTATCAGTATATCACAATGCTCTACTTTAAGCTTAGAAATAAGAAAAGCGTGTGAATGCCCACATCCACACTGCCTCTTTATGCTGGTAAATTTAGGATATGTCCCCCCCCACAAATTAAGTAACAGTTCTGATTTGGAGTGTCTTTTTATGCTTTTCCCTTTAGGCAAGCCTGTCATGATCATCACTGAATACATGGAAAATGGATCACTGGACACCTTTCTCAAGGTAGGACAGGACTGAAAGGAATACGGGAAGAAAGGTTCATGGGCAGTTTAGACAGAATAAAAGGGAATGGCCATAAAGATGTTGGAAAGGACGAGTTTGAAAGGAGGAGGACAATATGGTAATTACAAGTCGAAGACGCTGGACAAAATGGAGAAAAGAGAGAGAAGTTAAAGACCACAACCAAATCCCTTAAAGGAAATATCACAGTCATATATCATTAAAATAGGGTCAGGATTATACAAATACAGTGGATCTGTTTGAAATTTAAACTGTGTACATTTGTCACTCTTTTGGATGAAAGTTTGAAAAAGGACATTATTTGTACCAGAGATACATGAGTAAGATTAAAAGCGATTCAATATGAATATGCTCACCAAAGTCAGAGAACCAGTTTATCTTTCCAAAGCAGAAGTTCACTGTAGATGAACATGTCATTTGTGCAAAACATTTCTGATCGTACACAAAACAGAGATGGCTAAACTTGCCATGAATTGCAATAACAGACTTTTCATGTTCAAAATAGTCTTCAGTAAGTGTTCATAAGTGTTCTTAAGTATTTTTCCATTTTATCCACAATAATGTGAAGTACTTAGTCTCTTAAACCTTTCTATAGTTTAATAAAAATGCTGTCTTATATTTTTGTGTAGTCTTGCAAGTATATATTTTTTAAATCTTACCATCAAGTAATTGAAAACATTTTTTAAAAAAAAGAAAATTATTATAACAGTACTTATAATGCTGTGGAGTGTACGGTCATGACAAAGAGTTTGCACAAGCAGGCACTTTTTTTTTCACTATTTCCTTGCCCAAAATAAAACACAGATGCCTTTTACTTAGAAAAGTAACAGTTATCAGAACACGTTAGGCTGAAATTGTGTCTGACCTGCACAGACTAGTCTTTAATTTGAGAGTGGAAGATGAGCTGTAATTAAGAGGCTGCTGGCAAATGTGAATGGAATGATCCCTCTCCTTTATCACTGATTACAGCTGCAAAATTCTCAGGTGGTGATGGGGGGGCCTAATTCTGCATGAAAAAAGGGATCCATTTCTGAAGCAGATGGCTAATAGAGCGATGGCTCGGATGGTGGTGATATGAAGTGCAGGTGTGCTTGAAAAGGTAGAACAGATTGCAGCCCTGGGCTGAAAACGACGCTCTCGCTCATGCTAAGTGCTACGCGAGGATGCCTAGGGTCAGCGTACAGAGACAGAGCTGTGGTCAGTAAAAATGCTGACGTGACTGTACTGTGTGCCATGGACAATAAACCCCGAATGGCAAAGGGGACACAGAGGAGATTGTGAACCAGCAGGCGAAGCACCACAGAAAAAACCCTGTGAAGTAATTACATGGATGGCTGGTGTACTGAGGATGGTTTAAATGACACAGCCATGAGAAAAAACCGGAGCTGCGCTGGGTCCTGGATTAGTTGTCCCTGCTTTGGTCAATGCACTGTAACCCTCGTAACTCACATTTCTGGCTTAACATCTCATTTCACGTGTAAGTGGGATGTTCTGCCGTGGACGGATGGAAAAAAAAACTAGCTGTAAATGTGATGAAAGCTGAAGCTGAAACCATTAGGGGGAAGAGGAGTGTTCTGCAGTTGCTACAGGGGGGGGGCTGTGGAGACATGAAGAGTGGATAAGAGGAAGGTTGGAAAGTTTACATTTGGATTGGATGGAGCCGAAGCTTAAACCAACAATGGGAACTGTCCATGGGAGAAAACTAAAGCCCCTCTCAAACACGCACTGCTCTCCAGTAATCTGACAGCAACTGAACGTGCGAGTGGCACGTCTGAATGAGCGCCCTGCTGCTTCCCTGCGACAATCTGCGATGGTAGCTTTATGAGTTCTGACCTAATGCGAGGCGTGATCGTCTTTTTTGGGGGGAGTAAGTGACAGCCCCATCCGAAATTCCCATTGTTGTGGTTTTCCCTCTGTAGGTAACTGCTATCATCTTTCACAGCGCATGAGCCAGATAAGTGAGAAAAAGGTGCAGGCACCCAGGTGAAGTGAAAGAGGCTTTTTTTTTTTTTTTTTTACATATTTCTCGCTATCTACCCTTGTTGGCATCAGGTGCGGCAAAGCCCCTTGTGAGTAAGAAGCCATGAGCAATCCTAACCGTATCACACCACCTGTTGTAAGAGCTTAAACATGTTGAAAAAGCGATATTTTCACCTGCTGCTATTCACAGTCTTTATGTCTAATGCGATAAAAGTGCGCCTGTGGGCTGATGCGATTAGTTATGGCAACACGACATACTGTTTGGAGAAAACTGTGACTCCAGAAGGAGTTGCAGAGTTTTAGGGCATACAACTTTCCTCTCTCCACACACACACACACACACACACACACACACACACACACACACATACACACCGGTACACACAGCTTTGGTAGTGGAGTTGATGTCCCAAAGAGGAGAAAGATCTCAGTTTTTCTAGCTCAACTGTGTATGCCATTAAGGTGCAAGCTGTAATAGGATTCTGGAACTTTGATTCTCTCAGGACTACCGTGTTCAAGATCCTTGATGAGCTGCCGTGATTTATTAGATTTTTTTCATAGAAAGGAAAAGTTTCAGTGGAAGTGGTGAAAATGAGTTCTGAATGACTACAGGGAGTCGGATATTTCATAAAACACATTCTGTCAGCGTGGATAGGCTCCAGCCCCCCGCTTACTCCACCAGGATAAGTGGCATAGACAACGGATGGATGGAAAAATTCTGTCATTTCAGGGGGCAGCATTGCAACAGTGATCTCTGATGGGGAATAGAAGGGTGTTGGTTGGTCCTGGTTAAGGTCTGCCTGTTGAACGAGAACTGCTGAGTAGTGATTGTTTCTTCCTGATGCCTGTTTAGAAATGTTCCTTGAGAAGAACTTACAGTGGTTATTCCAAGCATGATGAACATGACGAAGGATTAAGCAGACAGCCTATACAAAAGAAAATTCGAGAAATGAGCCAATTCTCTCGTAATGAGCCATTTCTGCAGGAGCTTAGAACAGAGAATTAACCAGTTTTTGTTCTTTCTTCTGAACAGAAAAACGACGGCCAGTTCACAGTGATCCAGTTGGTCGGCATGCTGCGTGGCATCGCATCGGGCATGAGGTGAGCACAGTCCTGACCCGCAGGCTTTGTGTTTCTTGACTAATCGTTGCGCTTTGCTCACAATGCTGTCGTCCTGATCCATGACAGATACCTGTCCGACATGGGCTACGTCCACCGGGACCTGGCGGCGCGCAATATCCTGGTCAACGGCAACCTTGTTTGTAAAGTGTCGGACTTTGGTCTGTCCCGAGTTCTGGAGGATGACCCCGAGGCTGCATACACCACGCGGGTAAGGCCCGGATGCTCTTTAGTGGGAGTTTAATACTGTAGAATGTCTTTACCACAGAACAGAAGTGTAAAATCATTTGCAGTAAAGTATAATAAACGTTTAATAACAGACAAAGATCATTCCATCAGAGCAAAATTATGGAATACTTGAATCATTTCTTTAATTCAGTGTTTATTTTTAGGGTGTAACTATGGTATATCAAATTTATATTAACATAGCCATGACAAATATACGTGTGTACTCATGCTCACAGACAGAAAACAGCACCAGGCTTAAAGTCGAGCGATGTATCCTTGGCTGAGTTCTGTCAGACGAGGACAGGCTGCTTCCTGCAGGAGGAGGACCAATTAGTAATCGGCTCAGCCTCCACAACACTCAATTAGCACAGAGCCTTGCCGCTTTCGCGCCAAAATATCTTGTCAGTCACCTCTTGCTGCCAGGCTCCATCTCTCCGTGCTCCTTCTCTCCTTCGTTATCGAGCCCTCCTGCCCCGACAAGCGAGAGAAAAGCGGAATTCTCATTCTTCAAATAATCAGACCCTGAGACTTCCTGTTGGTGTATTCATCAATAGTGCATCAGGCCCATTTAACCTCTCATCAGCCGAAAAACGCATTTTTCCTGTGGAACTTGGCAGCCTTCCTGTGAAGTTTTTTATTCCATCCATGCAAAGACGGCGCAATAACGTTGATGAGGAAAATGAGCAGGGCAATTTACAACCCCCCCCACAGTTGAGACATCGAACTCGACAAAAAATAGGGAAACTTGACTCTGCAAATGTTTTCCTAATACGGTATTCATTAGCCGAAGACATGCTTCAATTAACTTTATTTTTCTTGGTATCAGTCTCAAACAAGATGCCGGGTTTTGAATAACGCCAGCTGTATTTATCCCGTGATTATTTATACCAGTGTGGAACTGAACTATTTTCATGTGGGCCTGTCAGAGTCATTTACAAAAACCTGGATCCATTAGAGAGAAAAAAAGGGTAGATTAAATTAGCCAGACTTTGTTTCCTATCAGCTCAGTGGCTGATGAGTTGGGTTTTTGTCAGTGGTGGGACCTCCGTCCGCATTGGCTGAATGGTCTCTGATCAAGAACCAGCCAGTTTCACAACTGCTGACACTGCTAAAAATCAAATAAGGACTACAACAGAAGACGTAGGGGGTACAGCATTTGAACATAAGCTACTCCTCGATTGCTGAGCATAGGAGAGCAGTTAATGTCGAGTTTTTTTTTTTTCCCTTACTGCAGGTTTTGGTCGGATTCGGAAAGAAATATCAAGCTGAAAAGCTGACTCGACGTATTTTATTTATTTATTTTTTGTTCGAGCCGAGCTCCTCACCTCCTTTGCCGAAGCAGATTTTATTTATTGTGCATTTAGCAAAAATTGGCCAGTAGAGTAAAAGAATAGCTGACCTGGTTGTACTAGCCTGTAGCTTAGTTAGTAGCCCCTGAGATCAGCATGCATTCTAATTAGATGCATATACCACTTCCTCTTGAGTGTGTTGTGCCTGAGGTTCTGGTACATCAGTCCTCTTATAAGGCTCCATGTTCCGTTTTGAACTGGCTGCTGAGCATGAATCTCAGCCTCTCTGGCTGGCAATGCTTTCAAGTTCCCGGCAATGCGCTTTTCCCGAGAGATCGTAGCCATTTTTAGCCAGAACATTTGACTCTTACAAGTCACTACCAAACTGTGCTCATTTCAAGGCAACACAAAAAGAAGGGTCACAAATTACTGCTGATCATTCTAGTTGGTTGAGTTATTTTCAGTAAATATAACTGCACCTTTGACACAGGGTGGGAAGATTCCTATTCGCTGGACGGCTCCGGAAGCGATCGCATACAGGAAGTTCACCTCGGCCAGTGACGTGTGGAGTTACGGGATCGTCATGTGGGAGGTGATGTCATACGGAGAGAGGCCCTACTGGGAGATGTCCAATCAAGATGTAAGTTTCGGGACCAAAATTCCAAACAGTCGTTTGTTTTTTGTGCCCGTCAAATTTGATCTTTTTCTTCATTGTTTTTCCCCCTTTTGGAGCGTAATTTTCAAAAACATGCTGCAATCCCTCCAGACACTCCCACACACTTATGCTCGCTTCCCACCCACCCACACATGAAGCATATGTGCCCACAGCCCTTAAGTGACCCCTTCCTGCTTCAGACTCCTCCCCGCTCTCGGTTATTAGGATGTCTGTCTCAAATACTAGGCGAGGAGGGAAGATGGGGATGAGAGGAAAAGAGAGAGGGCGTTTGATGTTTAATTGAAAGTGTTATGCCGGATTTTTTCTCTGATCTGCACAAGAAAGTGCAGGCTCTCTCATTCTTTCTCCAAGCTGTCTCCTTCATTCTCTAAGCTTTCCCATTCTCCCCTTCTCCGTTCTGTTGTCCTCTCTTGTCTGGCTCAAACACAGTCTCTGTCTCTACACTTTCTTGCCTCTTATCCGCACTCTTCGCCTCTCTTTCTAGTTGGTCTCTGATCTTTCCTCCCTGCCAGTGAGCTAAGTGTACCCCCCCCCCTCTCTCTCTCTCAGCATGCAGATATCTGAGGTTGTTCTTTTCTCTTATGCATTAGTCCGGGGTTTTTGGATGTGTTGTACACAAGGCATGTCCGTTTAATTCATGGACGTCCGTTTTCTCCCAAATTCCTGGTTCAAATTCACAGCAATTTGTGTATTTCCAGTAAATGTTACTGGAAATGCGTGTGCTTGCATACATATTTGTGTATCGGAGTTCTGTTAGACTCCGGTTTGGCATGAATTATGAGTGAATTTAGCACAGATAAAGTCTGTCATGTGCTCAACAAATCAATTCCCTTCAGCGGGTTGAAGTGGCAGAACTAGGCTGAAAACTCCAGCCCGCTTTCCACTGCAGGGTCTAACGAAAAGAAGCCGGGTTCATATATAATTCATCCAACTCACACCCCCCCCCCCAAAAAAAAAAAAAGATTTTGTGCTGCATCTCCTTACTTGCAAAAAATGACTAACTGATCTATGCAGCGTTTGGGCATTTGGAATCAACAAATAAAGTTTTAATGATGAGTAACTTGACTGAAAGTGGGTTGCTTCTTTCATGGCAAACTTAAGTTCGAGTATGAGGTCAGTTAGAAATTAGATGCATCCCTTCCCGCAAATATCAGGATTTTGAACATGTGGACATACAAATTGAGAATTCACGCATTATATATTTTTCCTTTTTTTCCGTTAGACCCTTCAACTTCACTTAACATGATTGTGCAACGTTTTCTAAACAAAAAACAGAGCTTTTGAAGGGTTATGAACACAGAAAATGAGACTTTCTTTTCTTATTTTGGCATGATTTATTGTAAGAAGAAATGTTAAAAGGTACACTCTTTAACAATATATATTTTCACATACCTGACTGAACCTTTCCTTTTTTTCTAAATTACTTTAACCTCATTTGGATGGTCCTATGATGTGTATTAGTTGGGGAGGGGGAAGTAAACCCCTGCTTGTCTTTTGTTTTTGTCCCTTATCCGTCTGTAGGTAATAAAAGCAGTGGAGGAGAGCTATAGGTTGCCAGGTCCCATGGACTGCCCTGAGGCCCTGTACCACCTAATGATGGACTGCTGGCAGCGGGAGCGCAGCAGCCGCCCCAAGTTTGATGAGATTGTTTGTCTACTTGACAAACTTATCCGCAACCCCAGCTCATTAAAAAAGCTGGTCAACTCCTCACACAGGTACCAAAGGAATTCAGCCGCCACACTTAGACTGTTTTCATCACAGTTCTGTACCACCAAGTACATAAAAAATGGAGGGAAAAAAAGGATTTTCATAATAGACGTAAACAATCTAAAGTGAATCATTTATACAATTTAAGAAAGATTATCAGTTTTAGCATTTTGTGGGAGACTTTAAGAGTTGTAAGAAGTTGAGAACAGAAAATAAACCAAATCATCTTGTAATCATGTGATGGAATTTACATTTTTATGTTAATTTTTTATTTTCACCTTGAAAATCTTTTTTTATGAGAAAGTGTGAGGTATGTTATGTATTAATATAAAAAATACATGTCATGTTGTTTTAATTGTCTTATTGAGGCATTGTTGGCCTTGTATTGAAGTAGTTCCATGCATTTTTATACTGACAACAGCACGAATTCCCCTTTTTATTTTATGGAGAAACCAAAACCAAAGTGTCAGTATCGCTAAAAACCTATAGACTCGTCATCCAAATGAAGAGTTTAAAAGTTTATACTCAAGTTAGGCTGTATAGCTAAATCGGGTGTCCTCTCCACCGGATTAAAGACGTCAAAGAAGTGCAGAGAAACTAAGAGTTTCAAGAGGCTATCCTTTGCTTTTTATATATTTGAGTGTGCAATTAGTTTATTCCACTTATGTGTGCTTTGCATCAGCCTATAATGGCATCAAGCGGCTTTAAGTGCAGTGGAGTGGCCATTTATTCAGGCACCTCATAACCTGATATTCTTGGTTAAGGTAATGAAATAATGTTGTTTCTTGAGTGGAGCTCTCGCCTCTTCTTTGACAAACACAAAAAAAGAGGAACACTTAATAAATCAGTGGCGTATCTAATAGCCCTGCAATGACATACAGCGGTTGTCAAGATTAAAGGGACATCAGCAAGGCTGGCTCTTTTTTCCACGCCACCCTAAATGTTCCAGCTGTCGCGTGGAAAATGCTGTTAGCCGCTGTGAATATTCCAATTGATAGCGTGGGGAGCTTTATTTGTCAGCAGGAGGAGTGAGCCGAATGACAAAGAGATTTGGGCAGGAAGCGTTTCCAGCTTTGTGTGATGGCGCATAACTAGAACTACCAGTGAAACCTCGCAGGTGAATCTCTGGACAGCGGTGGGCTTTACAATAAATGAACGGATGTGAATGGATTTCTTTTTTTTTCCACAGTAATGAATGTTGAATTTCTTCCGACAGCGTCCCGTCAGTCGGGTATGGCTTTTAAAGGACTCTTTCACAGCCGCTCTCTGCCTCACTCTGTCATCTCCATCTGTGTGCCAGGGTTTCCAACCTGTTAGTGGAACATGCCAGTGTAGAGGGGGACTGCAGTTCCAGAAGCCAGACCGTAGGAGAGTGGCTAGACTCCATCAAGATGGGCCGTTACACCGAACTTTTCATGGAGGGAGGTTACGCCTCACTGGAAACGGTGGCTCAGATGACATCAGAGTAAGACCCCTTTGCTTAAATACAAACATACTTTTTAAAGAAATGCAGCTCTGCAGGTAGGTTTCGATACAGTTTCTGTGATTTGCTTTTGCCAGGCCCGTTCCAACATTAAGTTGAGTGTTTTACCAAAATGTGAACCTTAAAAATGAGATTTATGGATATTTTTACAAGGCTTCTGGCTTGTAAGATGTTCCGCAAAACTCTGAGGTTCTGAAGGAATGGATTCAGCGACAGTAAATTGGTCTGATATGCATGCATAATTCAGCAATCCATAAACTACCATTACGGCTTTTTAATTGCTGAAGTCAAAACGTATTGATCTTCTGAATGGAGACCAAACTGCTCTTCTGGTGAACTTGAACTGCACTGAATACGTGATTTTATTACCGTTCATTCATCTGTGTGTGTGTGTGTGTGTGTGTGTGTGTGTGTGCTGTATTTCAGGGATTTGCGAAGAGTAGGAGTGAACTTGGCTGGACATCAGAAAAAGATTATTACTAGTATTCAGGAGATGAGAGTCCATATGAACAGCACCAACTCTACTATAAATATCTGATGCATATGTACAGGCATGCACACGCATTCCATACGTCCATACCTGCACATACTTAAATGAGTTTTGTTTTTGTTTTTTTTTGGACCTAGTACATAATCAAGTAACTGTTGGACCTAGAGCGGCTTAGCACTTTCTGCGGACAAAGAAATCCTGTGCTCCGTGGATCGACACTGGATGATCCAAAGTTTGATGGTTTTTGCGTGTGGAGTCACAAGAGATATTTGACATTGCAGCACTGAAACCAAACTGAACTGGACTGAGTGGTGCTACGTGGAGGCATGAATATCATGGCCTATACTGAAGATAAGGGATATTCTGTTTTTTTTTTTCTCCTTCTAATGATCACAGTTGTGTGAAATCTTTGCACTCTTGGATTCTCCAAGATCCGACGCAAAAGAAAGACCAAGGATTCATCACTTTTTGGCTGCATGTCATCAGGAGTTTGACATCACAGTGGGCTCAAACTGAACTTTTTTAACCTGTCTCAGGTGAGATGAGCCCAGTTGATCTAAACCAAACTGACATACTCTTTCCGAATTGTCTCTAGAAGTACATTTTCCATGAGGAGTTGCTGAATTGAACACCGTTCTCAGGCAGGGCTAATGTAATGGACCAAAAGCAAAATCTTCATTGAGTGTCAATTTTGGCTTTTTGGTGTTAATGTGCATTGCTTTCTGTTTCGGTGTCTCTTACAGGTAACAAGGCCACATATGCTGCAGCTACAATCACAGTTGCACTCAGAAGGTTCAGATTTACATTTGACGTATGTAATTATCTTCAATAGCAATATAAGATAGTCAAACGTAACGCAATGTTGAGGCCATTTTGAGGATGAAAAATAGGAGTTGACGAGATTAAATTTTGAGAAGGTAAAAGATGCTAAACACTAGGCATTCACATTCACTAGAGATGCTCACTGGTCTAAAGCCTCTCATCTGAATATGTAAAAATGGTAAAATGTGGAAAGAGACACTCTTCTCTTTAAAACAAGCCCTTGAATGAAGTAATATATTCTAAAACATTCAGCAGGCTGCACCGAAAGCCTGTGTGAAATGCAATGAGATCAAGTTCAAAACTGCATTATTGGCCTCTATCCTACACTTTCTTTACAAATTGGATACCTCCAATTGGTTTTAATACAAATTGCACATGTTCTAGCAACAACATGTCATCAGCATAGCTTCACTTTAGAGTTTTGTCAGACTAGGATTTAATTCAACCCCAACTCAGACGTGAATATGCCCTCAAATCTGGATTGTGATGAATCATTTTACACCAGGCATTTAAACTTTCGGCCATACGTTTTCATATGGACATTTTGCTGGTGGTGGGATTAAGCTGAATCAATCATTCATTTCAAGATTGGTTATGGAGTCGAGGGAAATTGATTGAAAGTTCAGTCTACACTATGGAAACCTTTTTGTCCAAGGTGCAGAACCGTCTCTAAAAATGTGGGAGTTTATTCCACCTTGATATATCTCATTACCTGTTTACGGTTTTTACATTCACTTTAATTCCACTCAGTCTCTTCCAAGGATTCCAAAGCAGACTTCATCAATCATGAGTTCTTTTTTATCTTCCGTAGTCCTTCACTTTAAACCAATACTGGTAGCACAGAAAACCCTCAGAATCCCCTCGGTTCACTAAACTGCTGACTCATGTGTGCCACACCACAAACCTCACTCCAACAGGACTGCTTAAATATAGAGGCAATATTTACTTACTTGATCCTCTTTTCTTTTTTATTTATACCTGTTTTAATGAATATCAGAGATTTGTGGACTGTTCATGTTTTATTACAATGCTTTCTTGGACAACCAAGCAGCTCTGCCAATATGTCATTCATGTATATATTGTATTATATATTTAAAGCAGGGAGCATTGTTCTTCTGTCTACCATCGGGTGGACACGTTGATATTTATCCTGCATCTCAGAGTAGTACACATAAACAAATTGTGACATATTTTGTAAGTCTGCACATCTGCTATGAAGACCTGGGCCTTCTTGTGAGGGGAACTAACAAATTGGTCCCAATGTAAAGGCCATTGAAAGGATATGCAGAGAGACATATTATCATATTATGTTATTCATGTTTTTTTATTTTTTACTGAGACATTTCCAGTGGCCCTAATAGATAGAGCTAGATATGATCTGCCTCAAAAAGTATGTAAGAAGGAAGCAGAGGAACTGTTGTGTGGTTTAAAGGTAAAATATGATGTCAGTAATCAAACCTTTATTTTTCTTCTCGGTGTGGAATGGTTGCTACTCCGTGCTCTTTTGCTAAAACGTGACCCCTTTTATGGTGGAGTCAACTTTCACAGAGTCCAAGCTCCCACTCTACATCTACGTTTGCAGATGACATCCCTATATTTTTCTCTAACAGTATACACTAGTGCCAGGGCATAAAGGTGCAAACACAATGAGATTGTAAAGGTAGTTTAGTTTAGTTTATTTGGTTTGTTTTTCTGTTTTAAGAGGCGGTATAACTTGAACATGTGAAAAGCACACAAGAATGTAAGGTTATAAAGGGGTGTTTCACCTTTTCCAAGCTTGCTTGACTTTTAAACACTAAGTAACATTGCTCTTAGGTCAAAATGAGGGAAGTGTTGGTGGGAGGAAGCTGTAGTTTACGCTCTTACACCTACTGTCAAGATCATGGTTAGATGACCGAATGTAAGCAGTGGGTTCACACTTGAAAATCCTACAAGGGTTTGTGTTTTTACTAGTCAAAATGTTGTACTTGAGTTAACGCATGGTTGACGAAGACATGCATAGTCTCGATTGTCTCCATTTATCTCCATTTATATTCCCCTTTTATATAGATATACCATGTTTTATTTAGAAATTTTAGGGAATTGTGGACTTGTGCACAGTTAGATTTTTCTTTTTCTTTTTTAAAGGGAGAATTTGTTATAATGATAGAAAATTAAACATTTAAGAGTAAACATTTACATGTAGACTTTCGAGGCTATGCAGGTTTTCTTTTATTCTAGAACGGAATGCATCATTAATTTGGTGCCTAATATAAGACGTACGGGGACAAAAATGTTTTGGAGGCTTCTTATTTATCAACCAGCATGTTTTTAGCTCATTTATCTTGAGGCACATTAATACTATGACCTGTTCTATAAAGTTTCTGGCCATTTTCATATTTGATTTTAAGATGAACTTTCCAATGTCAAAGCTTTGTGTGGGGCATGAACAATTAGCGAATAATCTACCCTTACAAGTGCCTCATATCTTTCTGAGCTCTGATGTTTCTCCTCCTGTAAAAATGCTTTGCTCAAATTGTACCTAACCATTTACTCTGCCAACAACTTCTACAGCAAATAAGAAGAATGTCAGACAATGTGTATGTTGGAACTAATTTAATTTGCACTTTATGAAGAATTTGTTGCCCCTTTATTTGACTAAAATCGTTTTAAATTATATACTTCATCTTATTTTTTATAATCTTTTACTACATTGTTACTACAGCCCCTGATGCTCATACTAATTTTTCTTGTCAATGCTTCTGCTTGTGTGATATTTGAAGGTTAAGCACAACTCATCAATAATATTCAAAACAAATCAAAGCTGTGAAAGCGTTGATGTAAAGCACCATTTTGTTGTGTTTGGCACATCGCACCATCAGAACCGAAAGACAGAATTGTTTTTTAATTCTAGTCTTCTTCTTTTTCCCCAATACCAAGAATCAATACTACACAGCGTTGATGTCTACAAAGATTGTCAGTGGTCTCTTTGAATTACCACTGCAACCGTGTGAAAGGAGGAATCAATTTGTTGGCACTGTAGACAACAATAAACATTTGGGCTGACTGGCACCTTTGTGCAAAATTATCATTATTAGTATTATTTTTTTTACTTTGTGATTTTATCTGTGCGATGATCAGTTACAAATACAAAATAAAGCACAGCAAAACCAGCCTCTGCTGAACATCCAGTAATGTCTTGATTTTCTACTACTCTACCACTACAGCGACTCTCAGTTCAAGCTTTTATCCGTCATGTAATCATCTTGCAGGTGTCACATTTGTGGTGTTGCATAACTGATTCAATCTGAATTAAAAAAAACTAAAACAAAAATTCAGTTTTGAAAAAATAATCTAGTATATAAACACAAAATCCCTTAGAAGCTGTTGGATTCAGAGAAATGAGAGTGGTGGAGATTGCTCCGTGATGAAAAAAAAAGCACTGAATAAACCATTAGTTTCCAGCTGTGACTAAACTGTACCAAATTTGTAAAAGCAATTCCTGATTCCTGACATGCATGAGGAAATGGCAGAACAAGTTTGTAGTGTAAGAAAATGGTGTTCAGATACTTGAACTTCCACATAAAACACACAAAAAAAACAGTTTTGAGCATCTTGGAAAAGAACATGAAAGAAGTGGGTGGGTTTGCATCAGGAGACCGGGTTATGCTCGTAATGCCAACACACTT